ACAGCATTCCTCCCTGTGTCTTCTGCCACCCCATCTTTCCTCTGCCAACCTCTCTCCGGTTGTATATTGCCTGCCCTTTCACTCATGTCAATGCGTGTCCACACTGTAGCACATGTATCATTTCCTCCTCCCCCCAAAACCATCATAGGTTGTTTCTTTTATCAAGAAAAAAAACCCTCCTTTTTTTTTTTTATTTATAAAAACAAAAAACCTCACAGGAATATATAATCATTTAAACAACCAAAGGGCACATTCTACAAGCCTGCCTCCTGGCCACCAGCACACAGCCTTTCTCTTTCCATGGGTCTAGAGTCCTCAGCTGCTCTATCTCTCCATGTCCTCATCTCTGTCTCCATCTCTGATGTCACTGCTTCTCTGGTTAGGGTCCCACGGTCCACTCATGCTCCTCTCTTGATGGTCATAGGGTCCTCTGTTCCTGAAATGTAAGGTTTACTACTCCCCCTTTTTGTTACACAACTTCTACCTTTATAATTGTGACAATCACAATAAGGTATGGTAATAATTACTCACTGTTGATTCAAATTAATCTTATCCCTATCTCCTGTCACCAGACCCATCTAGACAAGCAGAAAACTATTCAGTGGGGATTCTACCTTCCCCTGCACACTCTGAAACTAAACTCACTCTTGAAAACCTGTAAACCAGCCACTTCATGCCTTTATAGCCACCCCCTCCCCATTTTAGGTATACAATGTCTAAGTTGCCCATCCCTATCAACTTTGTGTACAGAGGGGATAGGTTCAATCTTTGATGTGAAGACTCCTTCCCTCTCAGTTGGTATTTTGAGCTACTACATCCATATGTATAGGTCAAGTTCATCCAATTATAGCAATTTACACTTGCTTCCTTTATCAAATTTATCTTCCTCTATTCTAGTTCTTATCATCAAGCCATCAAAACTAGTTCAAATGGGTACTATCTACAGGTTTGGGCATTCTTGTGCGTCTCCCCTCACTTCATATTAGCTGGATGCTTCACTCTCAGCTCTAACCCTCTATGGCTAGGTCCTTATCCATGGGTTTAGGAGTTCCCAGGTCTCACCACACTTTGGACCAAACAGCCCTTCCTCTTCTCTCGTCTCCAGGTCAACAGGAGTCTATAGAGTCTATATGGTCAAACTCAGCCCATATCTTCATTGCTGCCTTTCCCCCACTTCCACTCACTAGTAGACCAACATGGTCGCAAGCAAACTTACATGCCTGCTCATGCGTTATATGTCCTTTTTGATGATAAATACGACATCATTCCTCAATTTGTCATTCCTGACATAATAAACCCATGTAATTGTCAGATTCAAAATGGCCAATGCCAGTCCATTTCAGCTCACTAATGCCTAAGATAAGGAGCTCTGGTAGTATAGTCGTTATGAGTTAGGATGCTAATGGTTGGAAACTACCAGCAGTTCCATGGGAGAAAGATAAAGCTTTCTGCTCCAGTAAGATTTGCAGCCTCGGGAAACCTGTGCAGGGTCACGATGAATCGGAATAACTCCATGGCACAAAACCACCATCACCACCAATGCCTAGGATATCAATGTTGATGCGTTCCATTTCATTTTGACAAGTTCCAGTTTTCCTAGATTCATACTTTAAACATTCCATGTTCCAATTATTAATGGATGGTTACAGCTGTTTCTCTTCACTTTGATTTCAGCCCCATCAGCCAATAAAGCTCCTAAAAGCTTTATTCCATTTGTGTCATCATGGTCAACTCTACTTTGAGGAGGCAGCTCTTCCCCATTCATATTTTGAGTCCCTTCCAACCTGAGAGGCAGATGTGCCTAATGCAATACATCGTTTGATTTCTTGACTGCTGCTTCCCTGAGTGTTGATAATTGATATGAGCAAAATGAAATCTTTGAAAACCAAAATCTTTTCTCCCTTTGTATGGTTGTTTATTGGACCAGTGGTGAGGATTTTTGTTTTCTTTACATTGAGATGCAAACCATACCAAAGACTGATCTTTGATCTTCATCAGTAAGTATCTTAAGTCCTCTTCGATTTCAGCAAACAAGGTTGTATCATCTGTGTTCCGGAATACTCATTTTCCTCAATGTTGTCCAGAGCTTGCCATGATCCACACAATCGAAAGCCTTTGCATAGTCAACAAAGCACAAGTAAACATCTTTCTGGTATTCTCTGATTTCAGCCAAGTGCAATACCACTCCACAATTCCTGGTATCAACCACTCTTCCCTGTGTATCCTCCCCAATTCACTGCAACCTCTCACAGAATTCCCAGCTGTCAAGGAAATGACATACATGGTTGTAGAGGGTGGCAAGTCCCAAATCTGCAATTCAGACATCAGCCTGGGGGATTCTCCTTAAACAGAATCAGGCTGTTGACTCACAAGGCTGTGGACGCAGGAAAATAAGGTCAGGTTGCTGGCTCAAATACCAAGAACCGGAAGTCAGATGGATGAGAGTTTGGTTAGCCAAGCTGAGGAGCACACAGCCCATTCACATCACCAACATGAGTCATTTTATACCTATGGTAGAGTTTCAAGTTTTTACAATCATCATTAAGTCTGTTAACACCCACAGCTGACTTGTGTCACTCTATAAGCATCTTCTCCCACCTTCTCTCACCCAAACTCATCAAGAACAGAGTCGTTTAGGGGGAGTTACAAAAAGAAAGTGTAAAAGAGATATATTAAGTAGTTCAGTAACCACAATGATCTTCCTGTGGTGTTACATTCCTTTTTCCCTATCCCTGTTTGCTCATTTGTTTAATCTCTTTTATATCTCAAAAGAAAAGGACTTAAGATTCACCGCACATGAATACTCATTAACATAACAAAACAAGACCCATTCCCAAATGGGATCGTAACCACAGGTATTTGTTGTTGTTGTTGTTGTTAAGTGCCATCTGTCATGGTGTTCATCTTCACCATCAATGGAATCATGGGGACATTGATGGTGAAACTGTTTGTTTCTGAGTCATAATGACCCTGTACAGGAGCAACTGTTGAATTTGAACCACCGACCTTGTGGTTCAAACCAACCTTGCATTCCAGCACTTATCCTCTAGCACCACACATATATAGGGGTTAGGGTTTACAACATACATTTTGGGGGCACATAATTCAATTTGTGGTGTGGCACTGCGGGTTAATGGGCTGGACTTTAAAGTTAATGGTTCAAGCTCACCAGCAGCATCTCAGAAACCCTATACAGGGTTGCTATGAATTGGAACCGACTCAATGGCACTTAACAACAGCAACAACAATTCCATGTATAACATTGCACATCAGAATCATCCCATCCCTATACCAAACCCACTGAGCCAGAATTGACAGTGATGGGGAAATAATTAGCAGTTGACCACAAGGTCGGTGGTTCAAGTTCACCAGCTGCTCCTCGGAAACCCTATACAGCATCGTTATGAGTCAGAACCGACTTGATACCACTTAACAACAACAACAGTTTTCATTTTAAGTCCTGGTGTGATGCTGTAGGATAAGCTCTGGACTGCTAACCACAAGGTTGACAGTTCAAACCCACCAGCTGCTCCTCAGAAACCCTATGCAGGGTCACTATGAGTCAGAAACAACTTGACATCACCTAACAACAACAACAAATGGATGTGAGGAGACCTGGTGGCTTGTTAGTTAAGTGCTTGACTGCTAACCACTTGTTTGAACCCACCAGCCACTCAGAAGAAAATGTGTCAGTGTACTTCTGTAAAGATTGTTGTTGTTGTTAGGTACCATCGAGTCAGTACCAACTCAAAGTGACCCTATGCACAACAGAACAAAACACTGCCCAGTCCTGGGCCAACCTCACAACTGTTGCCACACTTGAGCCCATTGATGCTACCATTTTGCCAATCCATCTCACTGGGGGTTTTCCTCTTTTTCTCTGACCCTCCACCTTACCAAACACGATATCCTTCTCCAGCGTCTGGTCCCTCCTGACAATATGTCCGAAGTATGAGAGACGAAGTTTGGCCACCCTGGCCTCCAAGGAGCACTCTGGCTGCACTTCTTCCAACACAGATCTGTTGGTTCTTTTGGCAGCCCATGGCACTTTCAATATTCTCCTCCAACACCATAACTCAAGTGCATCAATTCTTCTACGGTCTTCCTTATTCACTGTCCAGCTCTCGCATGCATATGAGGTTATTGAAAATACCATGGCTTGGGTCAGGTGCACTTTAGTCCTCAAACTGACGTCTTTGCTCTTCAACACTTTAAACTGTAAAGATTACAGCTTTGGGAACTCTATGGGACAGTTCTATTGTCTTACGGAGTCACTATGAGTCAAATCTGACTTGATGGCAGGGCATTTGGATTTGGGTTTAATGGGTGTGAAGCGGTATCCAGTTATGGTTATACTTTGCATTTCCCTCATGACTAATGATGTTGAGCATCATTCTGTCACTCGTATTTTCTTGGTCTCTGGTTTAGTCCTTTGCTCATTTTGACTGGGTTGCTTGTCTTCTTATAGTTTTGCTGCAGTTCTTTATGTATCCTGAGTGCAAACCTGTTGTAGTGAAGTGTACTGGAAATATGCCACTCTTGTGTGTGGTTTGTCTTTCCATCTTTGTTAAATGTCTTTTGAAGAGCAGAATGCTTGGATTTTGATGAAACAGATCATTTTTTTCTTCTTTTGTGATTGCATGATTTTTTTCTTTAACGTTGGGCATGTGCTTTGCTAACATGCTCCCTGGGGATTCTGTTGTGTCCCCAAATTGGAGAAGCTCAGGTGAGATGATTATCTGAGGCTCAGAGTCAGAGCTGAGCTTGACTTCCAGGGCAAGTCAGTCAGTCTGTCTAAGCCTATCTGCAAGCTAAGGTAGAAAGAAGCAGGCCCCATCACAAACGCTTCTTATCCATTGAGATAAAACCCAAGCAGAGTTTAGCACAGTGCCTCACAGGAGAGATGAGCCCCATCAGAATTGAGTTGTCTTATACGCAGTCTTGCTTCAAGCAGTGAGACACAGCCAAAGGCAATGACATGCTCTGTTGTTTGTTTTCAGTACATCAAGGCCTTTTACAATGAATCCTGGGAAAGACGGTATGGACATCCCATAGAGTCGGACACTCTGATGCTGCTCTGGTCTGTGACGGTGTCCATCTTCGCCATCGGTGGACTCGTGGGGACATTGATGGTGAAACTGATTGGAAAGGTTCTTGGGAGGTCAGTTGGGGCTGTCGCTGTTTGGGGCTCACCTATGATGTAATGCTCAAAATCTATCTGTACCATAGTCAGGTCCCAACATGAAACAAGATTCCACCTAGACAGTTCTACAGAAGTGATTATGATGAAGAGGCTACCATCTGGAAGAGACAAAGGAAAGAGATGGAACACTAGAGACCATGGCGAGTTGAAGGCATGGATGATGGGGGACAAGCAGGAGCTGAGGTTGAGGAGGGAGTGTTCCATGTCAGAAGCAAAGCATCCAAACAGGGACAGGGAGGAAAACCTCTGGTCTCCTGCTGGTGCCGCCATTGGTCAAACCCAAGTGGAAGAGCCTTGTTCATGCAGCCCAGGAGGGTCAACCTTCTAGGCCACACACAGGGCAAAAAAATAGTCTGGGTTTAAGGGCAAATGGAGAACAGTGGGCATAGTGTCTCAGAGATTGTTTATTATAAACACATATTTATTGTTGTTAGTTGACACTGAATAGGACTGACTGAATCATGGCGAGCTTATGTATAATAGAATTAAATGTCCTACATGATGCTCATGTATAATAGAATAAAATGTCCTACATGATGCTTATGTATAATAGAATTAAATGT